ATACTGCTGTCACTTTATTCTTTTGTGATAGTGCTAGTCTGATCCTGGGCTCCCTATATTCCTTGGTGTGAGGATACAAACAGCAAGAGAGAATGAGCAGTGGCAAGACAATAAGCTTGTCTGTTAAACTGATTTTTTTGTTTGTTTGTTTGAACAGCAAGCACTTATTGCCTTTTATTGATTAGCTTAATGTGGTTGTCTTGATTAGCTGGTTGGCAGTCTTACTTGCTCCATACAACAGCTCTATCTAAAGTAGCTTAACAAAGGAATTGGCCCATTGATTTGTGTGGGTATTACTGTATAACAGATAGAAACTTGGATAGATTTCATGCAAGCCATGTTCCTGTAGGCCAGCCCAATTGCCTACTCCATTACTGCAGCCAGGGATGAGAACTTCCTGATGCAGGTTAGGATGGGAAGAGGTAGACTAGTTAGAAAATCAGTCTAAACTTTAATTCGGTATCTTGCTTGTGCTTTTCTGAACTACTCCTGGTTTGTTTCTAGTGGACTAAAATCTTGTTTGGGGCCTATGGCGTTTTCATTTGTGCGTAAAGAGGATAGAGTTGAAGAGACAACAAGCTCCTGCTGTGATTTGTCATGTTTACCTCTGAGGTAAATAGCTGTATGTGCTGAAGCACTGTGGATACTGGTAAAATGTCTGCAATGTAAACTTGATTATGTAAGCTAGTGTTGATCTAGTGTAGCCTACATCTGGATTTTATCACAACTGAGTGCTTGCTAGTATGCCCTAATCTGCCTTCTAGCTGGTAAAGAATGGATTAGTGGAGCTGGGAAGAGCCTAGAAATGGATCTGCATCAAATCATGAAGGATGCTTTACTACCTGCATATGATCTTTAGGGTTCACTTTCCTTGGTTAGACCAAAGAATCAATTTTATTTGACTATGAAAAGCTGAGTGATGTTTATTCACTTAGTAATACTGCTGTGGAGGTGCAACCAGGAGCGGAGCGCCTGTGATATGGATAGTTTTAGGTGAGGATTTGGGTTGCTCAGTAATTCCATCTCTTGGCTTTAGATAAGTAACTTTAGATAAATGCATAAGCTCGCTCATACTTGCAAAAGACTAAACCCTCAAGGTAGGAAAGATCACTGTCTAAATGACGAAGAAAGGTAAATCTTGTTAAACTGTAAAGAAAGTTGAGATATTAAAGAGGAAATGTAGTAACATATTACTTTGTGTATCAGGAATATCTAAAAAGACTACAACTAAAAAGTGTCGATGCAGTCACCAGTAAAGAGTTCTGTACTCTAAGAAACTGCTAAAGCTTTCTAGAGTGACAGAATAGCAGAGCGATGGGTCCTTCAAACAACTTGTATGATGTTTTGAATCCTTTAACTTCTATAGCTACAGTCTTTATTCTAACACACAGTACAATCCCGTGTCCTTTTCCTAGCAGTCCTATGGAGCAGAAAAAGTAAAAACATCTTGTTACCTCAGTTTGTCCTAAACAAGGAACTGTCTTGTTTACCTGGAGCTGTGCAACTCTTGTGCTGCAAATCTCAAGTTATAAATGAATGCCCAATAAGAGTATTTGCTTCCCTGGATAAACTGGAGATATCTAACTAAACTGGAAGCTGACAGTATAAAACAGATGTTTCAAAGCCAGATCACCATCCTACTTGATCCATTTATCAAATTTTGTAAGTGACAATGCTGTTTACAAAACCTACCTAGAGTCGTAGCAGTCTTTATCCGTAGTCCAGTTTTCTAATAATTTAATTTCTTACTGTTAACATGCTAAGGAATCATTGTAAAACTGAGAGGTTCTGGTAACTGGTGGAAGGTAATCTAACACTGTAAACCAGCAAATTTAATGCCGCCTTTTGGTTGCGTAAAGATCACTTTATTTAGTGACAGCAGCACAATACTGGGCCTGTGATTTCTGAAATAAATGATCCTTGTAGTAATACTCCATTTAAAAACAATTCTTTTCTATACAACTCTTTTTAAAAAAGTAGCTTGTAACACACCATCAGAACTCCAACTCAATGTATATTCGAGATAGTATCTGTTTTTTAAAGCTGCAGTTCCTTCAATGGTTGGAATAGTACTTTTGGAATTTAATCAAAAGCAAAAGAAGACTGCACACTTTCTGTCAACAGGAAGCTTGCTTATTTACCTGGAAAATCTAGGTGAAAAACTACCATTAAGCAGAAAACCCTTCTTTCCTGAGCTAACATAAATGGAAAATGTTGCAGCAAATTAGGAAAATCCTCTACATTACATTAGATAGAATTTTGTTAGTTTATTTTGATAATGGGAATCTCAGGTTGTCCAAACTGAAGAGGTATCTTGTTTCCAAAAATGAGGTTGGAGGTTTGGTTAGTTTATATGGAACAATTTAAAGACCTTAACATACCTTTTAGGGATAGAGGAGAGGCAGGGAGTAGGGGAGAAAATAATTTGGAGATATTTAAATATATTTCTGTTTATATCTTTAGTAGCTCTGCAGTTCGTGTATATGGACACCAACATTGACAGATAGATGTGATTAATAATGAGTAGGGTATGTCAGCTCATTACTTTCTTTCAAAAACTATGTAAGATTTATTTCTAGTTGTAATAAAGTTGCTATAAATGAGAAATCACTTCTGTTTTGGGAGAGCTTTTTTTTTTTTTCCCCTTGCATCATGGTTCTGTGTGCTTGCTTCCACTTCCCCTCTGTGGATTGCCTCTCTCGAGGTGGAAGGGAACCTATTTTTTAAGTGTACGAGGGAAGCTACCTTGATTTCTTTCCCCCCTTTAAGGGGTTATGAGAAACTGGTATATAAACATTAATCAGATAAATTCTTCATGACAGTAACTCTTCCCTTATTGCATAAATCAAGGAAAAAGCATCTGAGCTGGTGTCAGAAAACACCTCTTGGCTAAAAGAAAGAAGAATCAAAACCTTTAGTGCTGTTAAAAAGCCTCCATATCAAAGCAGTGGCAAAACCCTGCTGCTGCTGCTGTTGATGAGGATATTAAATGCCATCTCACTCAAAACCAGGGTGGTTGGAATATTGATTAGATAACTTGCTGTGCTGTTAAGCTTTCATTCTAGCCAGTCCTGAACTGTGTACGTCTCTCTGAAGATCTCTCTGGATCTCATGATATTTGGGATATTGTCAGATTCCTTACTGAAATGTGTTTTGTAATTGGTAACCTATATTTTATACTTGTAATAGGTGCCGAAGCCATAATACTAATAGGCTGCTTCTTCTGGTCTTCCATTCTTTTGGATGTAGGTGGAAGAAAATTTTCTAAATACAATAGGGCAATAGACTCCTCATTAATTTGAGTTGACAATGAGCAGAGTTCTGAGTGCCAGCTCTTTTGTTACATCAGAGCAGCGCAAATTGAAATTTTATACTTGATTTCCACTTACACTAAGGGCAATTCAGGAAATAGTGTCCTTGCATCTGGGGAACTGAAGAAAGGCCTCAATAGCTCCTTCTGTTTATTCTCAAACAAATGTGTGGTGTCTCTGAACTAGCTGCTGATTAAAATGGGACGTCGAGAGCACAGTGAGTAGGTCTTCCAGCCTCCTTGATTGTCCTAGGGATGGAGGGAAACATTTGAAATCGGGATCTTGGCTGCAGTACCCACTTGTTTGTAGCACTCTGGTAAAGAGACACAAGCATGTTTTCTTTACCTCGGTTACTGAGTTTTGTACTGTTTTAGAAATAAAGACGTCTGGACAGCTTGAAATGTCATCTGTACTATAAGTACCTATACTTAAAAGTTGAAACTGCAAGATAAGGTAATCTAGAATAATAAAACTCGAAAATGCTGCAATTCCTTAGTGATTTTGGTGCTTATGCAATCTGTTGGTTTGTAGCCATCAGAAACCCTAGTCTTTTCCAACTTGCTTATAATAAGCACTTCTGCAACAAATAGGCTGTTAAATACTAGCCCAGGTAACAAGTGTAATCACAGCTGTTTAGTGTATGTGCATGCATAGTGTGTGAGGGAGAGGTTAGATTTCTGCCCATCGCTGATGCAGCTCTCTAAATCTTGCCTTATGGTTAAAGATCTGCTTTTCCCTGGGCTGCTTTGTGAACCTCTGCAGAGAGCAAGCAAGCTTCAGCGTCCAAGAAAAATGGCAGAGGAACCATTCATCCTTCCCTTTGAGTGCAATGCATAGTGTTTAACAGCTTCAAAGCAAATGGGTCACTGAACACCGCTGACTGGCTTCCAGAGAGCTGTCTTTGGGTTGTATCTGTAATGTTCTCTGGCTTCTTTTGTCTGTTGTTGGGAATGTTCTTCATCCGCTGCAATATCTTCTTCTTTTTCGGGTTACCATTCCTTACCCTGTCCAGTTGTCCTGTCTGGGTCTGCAAACACTGAACATAACCTGTGAAATATAATGCTGCATACTTGGACTATGTTAAGTGTATTTTTTTTTTAAGTGTGTGGGCCATGCACTGGTTATCAGATATACAGAGTACTAAGCAAGTTGGAGTTATAGCCATGGAAAGTGCTATAAAGTGGAAAGTTAGGAACCAGACAAAAATTAATTCATGTGGATTTTTTTTTTTAACAGAAGTAAAAGTATGTATGGTTTTTGTTACTGGAGATTCTTCCCTGCAGTTGCTCAGAAGCACTTCTGCTATTGGAAGAAGGATGCATCCTCAATATCAGTATCTTATGTATTGCTTATGTCCACTGACAGTGTTTGTGTTTAAAAGGAAAGAATAAGCTTGTGCTAAATTCTGCTTTTTTTTTTTTAATTTAGTGTGTAACTAATTCTGCCTGATATTTTCCACAGGGATTTATTCAGTGGAACTGGTAAATGACAGCTTGTATGAATGGCACGTTAAGCTTTTAAAGTAAGTTTTTTAAGCTGTTTTGATGTCCTGAAGAATCTATTTTAATATTGCTGTGGAGATTCCATTGCTGATAAGTGAAACTGTCTAGCCAGAGCATGTAAAATGCAGTGTGTAGCTACAATTCTCATATCAAATGCATACAAGGTTTGAGTTCTAGTAATAGAGATGATTTAAAAAAAAAAACCTCTTTGCACAGGCAAGTCAGTGTGTATCATTGGAACTCTTATCAATGTAAAAATCTTGCTTCCAAAACTGCTTCAAAATGCAAGACCTCTAATGACGAAATTTCCTGTCTAGGACTTTTGTCTGGGTGGCTTTAATTTTTTTGGTTTGTGTGGCTTTGGGATTTTTTGTTTGTATTTTCTTGAAATTAAAAAGCAAACCTTCAAGGTACAAGAAGGGGAGGGGGGGAAACAACCTGTCCTAGTGGCCCTATTTCTTCACTTCTGCAGTTCAGTGGGCATGCAGGATTGAAACTTTTCTTGTTTTAGATGTCACAAGGTCCTGAACTTGTTCACTTTCTGTTTCTGCTTCTAACTGTGTGTACCAAGTAGGAAAAAATTTCTTAACTTTTGTCAGTAGTATGCACTTTTTTTGCTTTATTTCTAGAGTTATTCTATTGAAATTATTCCTGCTAACGGGATAATCTGGCATCGTCAAACAACGTAACCTGCAGGGGGGGAAAAAAGACCTACCCAACTGGGCTGGCTGGTTGCATCTTCTCCCATCTCTCTCCATCTTTTTAAAAAGAACAGTATCAGTTCAGATACGTCATGGTGCATACGCATAAGGACAGAAGCTGTTTCTGCCCAGTAGTTGACCTGTCTGTAGGAACTGTTGCCTTATCCTAGCAGCAAGAGCTGTATTCCAGCAATTGGTGGCATAGTCATACAGTTTTATTTCTTTCTTAGAAACACTTCTTTCTTAGGGCGTATGAACACTTGGAGGCTGAAACGGACAGGAATGATGCAATGTCCGGAAAAGACAAATCTCTGCCATATCAGCCTTGCTTAAGTACTGTGAACAGTTCTGATCATCTTCCCTCAAGAAAGCGAAAACAAAGTACATGTAGCAAGGGGCTTCCCAAATGACCTAGAGAGGAAAAGATTTTTATTATCGCAGCAAAAAGTGTCTGAAAGAGAATGGACTGCGTGCAGACAAGAGGGTAAATGTCAAGAAGAAAAGAGCCCTTCCACCTAAGGGATAGCACTGTTACCAGAAGAAGTAACTCTGAATTAGCCCGGTAGAGGCTTTGGCTGGAAATAGGTTTGTAAGCATCAGGAAATATTTTTCTGGAATAGCTTCCCATTTGCAGGACGGGGACAAATTGCCCGAGTAGTTCTGAAATGGGATCTAGTAAGTTTGTGGCTCTGCCTCTAGTAGAAGATTGGATTTAATAGCCCCCAGTCCCTTTAAGAGCTGCTTGGAGCTTGCTGCAGTCATTGTTTGACTAGTCACTTTTTCAAAAGCTACTGCAGTATCAGTGCCTGGATGGGGTCAACCCAGTAGTGTCTGAATTAATGTCCAGACTGCTTGCCATCAACGTTTTATAACAATCAACTGCTGAAATTCTGCTGAGAGCAAAAGCTGTGGCTTTAGTACTTGTGCAGATGCAGATTATTTTTAACAGCTAATACAGAACTGTGATCGCATACCCTATAAAGGATTTACTATCGGTATGCTGAAAATTAGACCACTTCAGTCTTCCTGTTAAAAAAAATTTCTTTTCCTCCCTTCTTGGGATGCACTTCCCGTGAACTGAAGAGAATAAAATTACTTTTTTCAAATAAGCGTGGTTACTTTTTTTCCTAACCATGTTCAAAAGCCATTTGATAGTGGTGAGAATGCAGTGTTGTGCAGCAAACTTCCATGCTGATTTCACAGCAGGGCGTTTACCTTGTAACGTGAGCATTAATTTTCTGCAATTCACTGAAACTACAAATACATAAAGGAGTTCTTTAAGAGTAATTACTATTTTACAAAAACTGAAATTAACTTCATCCAGGAACTTTCCCTGCTTCTTTTGTAGGGTTGATCCTGACAGCCCATTGCATAGTGATCTTCAGGTCTTGAAAGAAAAAGAAGGTGTAGAATACATCTTACTCAACTTCTCTTTTAAGGTATGTGGCTATTGGAAGAAATGCAGGGATAAAAAAAATCCTAGCTCACTGTAGAAAATGACTGCAGTGGCCCTCAGCTCTTATTTGGGAAAGACAAAGGTGGAACTTTAAAAATTAAAATAAAAATGCAGCTTTCGATGTGATGTTAAGGCTTTCCAAAGATGGCTTTTGAGCTAGTACTGTGGAACACAGATTTCTATAGAACTGATAAAGTCTTACCTGCCAAATAAAGCTTTTGAAATATCTCCTGGATAGGAAAGCAGTGTTACAGTACAGTTCTTAACCTGTTTGTTATCTGTTCCAGGATAACTTCCCTTTTGATCCTCCCTTTGTGCGAGTGGTGTCTCCTGTGCTCACAGGAGGGTAAGTCTAAGTTGTTTTACAGAAATTTTGCTTTGTGGAGAAAATGCCACAACGGTGAGTGGTTCACTGGGTTTGCAGGGGACATTTAGTGACTACTAGTAGTCTTTCAGAAATTTCCCCTAAATACGTAGTCATGAGCTGCTGTAGAGCTTGAGTTCGGTAACAGGCTCAAAGCGTGATATGGAGACTTGCTTCTCAAGCATTATGCGCTCCTAGTAGGCGGATGTCTGAATGCATGTTCCAGCTGGACGCCGTTCCTCTGTGAACTGTCTATCTGTGAAAGATTCTGTGACTACTTCAGAGTTTAAGAACCGGCCTCTCTGGATGGTTAACATCAGCCTTACTTCCCCTGTTGTTCAGGGTAGTGGGGTTTTTGTTTTGAATTGGAGCTTTGAAGGAGCGCTGATCCTGCATTGCCTTAAACTTGCTGAATGGTCTTAACTTTTGCTGGTAACCCTGCAATAAAGCTTTTGTCTAAAACTCCTCAAGTGCTAATCCAAAAGTACTAAATTTAAGATGCCATGCTCCAAAACTGTTAAAAACAGCATGGTTGAAGAGCGGTCCCTGATAGGGAACCTTGTATATATCTATGGAGAGGAGATTAAATTCCCCTTCCACAGCTTTCATGCATCTCCTCCTGACGAGAAATTCTCATCCTTGCACGTTTGAAAATGCAGCCTGTGATAGCTGGTGCTGACTCGAATTTAGTTTTAACTGCTGTTCATTCTTTTCATTCAAGAAAGTTAGTGCAATTAAATGATATTAATGATAGTTGCTGCTACCAAAAAAGTAAACAAGCAGTGCCAGACACTGGAAAGACCATATTTCGGATTCTGGTTTTGTTATACTTGGACTGTTTCGTGCAGTCCTGTTGGAAAAGAAAGAATGGTGTAGAAGGCTTGGACGTTAGTGATAGTTCCCCTGTGAATGGTGTGTACTTATATCCTTGTCTGTAGCAGACTATGCTTTTGGAGAGGTAAACTTTCTGCCCTCGGTTCAGGTCTTGTGATACCTAGGTGTGCTGACTAAGTCCTTAGAAAGCACAATACACAGTGAGGCTGACATTAGAAAATGTTTTACAATCTGCTTTATCTCATTTGTCCGTATCTTTGATATATAAACATCTAAGTTGGTTGGAATTGTGTCAAATTCTTTTCCAGAAGTGGTTATTTTACAACTACACACCAGTACCACGTCCATAATGAAGCCATGAAAGGCAGTGTTCCTTCCCCACAGTCTGTGTACGGTTGTGTAAACAATTGTGCAGACTAGCTAAGTCACTGACTTTTTTTTCCAGTAAGCCTTTCTTGTAGTTAGCAAAGCAAATTAGTTTCTCTTGTCTCACAATGCTAATCTGCTCTGCAGAAATACATGTGGCTAACAACTTACAATATATTACTCTTTAAAGAGCGTTTCAGCTTTGTGAGCAAAAAAATTTAAGAAACTGAACTGAGAGCCTGAAGTGCTATGAACAATCTCATCTTTTTACTAACTGATGATGTCGAACAAACGTAATTGACTTTCCGCATTTGTTTCTAGGTATGTTCTAGGTGGAGGTGCTTTATGCATGGAACTTCTTACTAAACAGGTGAATGCAGACTCTCTTCCTCTTCTTACTGGAGTGCCAAGAGTGATCATGAAAGGTGCACTGTTTTAGTAAAAAGACACTTGATAGTTGTAGCTGTTATGCAAATAATAATAAAGCATGCTCTAAAATAATGAAAATAGGTATTTCCCCCTGAGTTTAAGAATCCCTGTATGGATTAAATCACATACTCCAAAGGAAGCATAGTATGATAAAACCTTAGTCCCACAAAATTTGCCTTGCTGAATTTGTACAAGATGTTCATCTCTTCTGCCTTGAAAGAGTTACAAGAGGTTTGAGGAAGAAGCAAGAAGTAAGAGCACATCAACTTTCCTTTTTGGAATTCCTGAAAGGAAGCCAGTGTAGAAGAGACTTGGAGTTTTGAGGAGCAAGACATTGTTCTCTTTTCCAGAGGCTGCTGCTACTGCACACTGGTGATCAGTTTTATCTTTAAATAAATGATGAAACTGGTTGTAAGCTTGTCGAACTTCTATGAACCCTGGAAGGTGAAACAGTGCCAGAGAGAAGCAGTAATTTAAAGCATAATCATCTCAGCTCGCTCACTTGCTTCATTAGAAAGCAGGCTTCTAAAGCTATAATTTCCATTGCGAAGTTACTGAAAATATGTAGATACTATGATGTAGCTGTTCTTGTTTCTATCTTGCTGTATTCTGGATAGGAGTACAATTCAGCCTTTTCATTTTTCCTACAAGTTCTTAGTGCTAACACTCTATCTATTTCTGGTTTTCTCTTAGAAATAGAAGTTAGTAACTGAAAACAAGTAGTTAAAACTGTAAAACATGTTTTCTCTGGTGGCAAAAATTCCCCAGAAAACACATTCCGAAACAGACTTGCCAGCTGAGCACAAGAAGCAAATACATATTATACAGAAGTATTTCCTTCTTCCTCCAGGGCTGGAGCAGTGCCTATTCAATAGAGTCAGTCATCATGCAGATCAATGCCACTTTAGTCAAAGGAAAAGCCAGAGTACAGTTTGGAGCCAATAAGGTAAATACACGGCGTAGAACACTTGCACAAGTTACTGTTTTGCTTCCATTTCTTTACTGACTTGCATGGAATATATTTAATGACAGAGGTGTCAATGCAAATATACTTGAATTTTGATTTGCTTCAACTTCTGATGCATTTGGGTAGTTTATTAGCAATTATGAGTTTGCTAAAGAATGATGAATGTGTGAGGAAGAGAAATGCTTGGGATGGGCAAGGTCTTGTGAGTAGGTAGATCTGTACTCTCCCCATACGAGCAGAATCTGTTCGTCATGTCGCTTTCTCCCTGTAAGCCCATTTTCTGTGTAGAGCTTTCCCTTCCAGATCTCTTTATTTCTGATTCCCTTTCTTAAGGGATTAAAATTCTTTAGTCTGAAGTGACACAACTCCAAATCATGTTGAGGGGTTTTTTTCAGGAGGATTTGGGATTTCTGGGTCTGAGCAGGGCTGCAGATAACAGCCTCGCTGCTGTGATTGCATACACTAATATTAAGAAGTTCTCCTTTTGCTGGACTAAACACCTGCAAAGTGTTATGAAAGGGTGAAATATAACACCATGCAAATACTTCTGAGCCAGCCATTCAGCATTAGTCTAAAACGTCATTGATTTCCAAATGTGCGTGCTGGTAATGTACTTTAAAGGACAAGTCATATTGGAGTATTAGATGCTATTTTCAGAAGAGGCTTAAACGTTTCTTTAAGACAAAAGAAATCGTGCCTCAGATGCCACTTTTTAGGTAGTGATTCAAGGATGGGGAAGGTGGTAGATGAGTGTCCTGTGAAGTGTGATTCTGACTCTATTATTGAAGTTATCGCTGTGTATTAGATTTAAAGGGCTTTTATCACGGTTCCATCTAGCCTGGTAGCTGGTCGGCTGACCAAGGCAGATCTATGGTCAGAGATGCCTGAAGCCCCGATTTCAGCTGATAGCACACACTTCTGACCTATCTCAGGTTGTAAACCCTTTGAAATAAGGGCCTTTCCGACAGCAGGGGGTGTGTAACTTATTAGCATTATGAAGGAGGAGAGATGAGAAGATAAAGCTATTTGCCTTGTACTTGAAAGCCAGGCATGTTGTAATACAGTGCATGTTTTTTATGAAGCCCACTGTAGAGTTTCATCTTAACACTGTTTTAAGTTTCACACGTTTTGATGCTGCTCCTTTATGTTGGTGTGTGTTTTTTTTTTTTTCCCCCTTTCAGAATCAATATAATCTAGCAAGAGCACAGCAGTCCTATAAGTCACTAGTACAAATACACGAGAAAAATGGTATGTACGTTCTTGCAACTTTTGTTCTTGGTCAGTACAGCAGCCTGGGATTTGGTGTTTGACAGCAGTAAAACTTAAAAGTGCTGGAGTGTCTTATGTTGGCTTGGAGAACCACAAATAGTGTTTCTTTTCATGTCATACTAGGAAGACAAAATTGCTTAAAGTAACTTGTTACATTCTTCCAAGTTGGAAAAGTTGCAGGCGTGTTGTTAGTCGATGTTCCCTGTCTTCCTACTATCTTTTGAAAGGTAGCTTAATTTCATTTTTGCCCAATTGTTCTAGTAACTTTACTGTGTCTCAAAGTGTCTTATTTGCTAGTGAAGTACCTACTGGAAGCTTGTCTGCCCCTTTCCCTGAAAGGTGTTATCCGAATAATGCAAGACCACAGTAGCAGTAATCCAGGAAGAGTTAAAGCGTAAAGAAAGGCCAGAGACTAAAAAATATGAAAAGTCCAAGTGAAGTACGCTATCTGGAAAACTGCAATGGAAATGGGAGCCATATGGGGTGTTTTTCCCTCCTATATAAAGCCAGTTAATGGTCTCTCAACTGGCATAAGACAAGTATTTCTTAAAGTGCTTCGGGTATAATTGCCTTTTATGGCAGGATGGGAAGGCAACAGATGATCTGAGGCTCTGGAAAGTTTAAGTGGCTTAGTATTGTCAGATAAAAGTGGTCAGCGGAGCGGGTGTCCTGGTCTTATGAGCAGGGAATTAGTCCCAGTTCCTGCTTCAGTGATGCTCTTTGATCCAGGTTGGACGCAGCATCCTCTGGGAACTCAGGTGGTTGTGAACGAGCTTATTTCAGTGTGACCGTAGTGAATGCCTCAGTTTCCCCACTTCTAAAATGAGCATAGCGACTATACTATTTGCTGTGAATATACTACTGGGAAATGAGTGCAATATTGGGAAGAAGAGCAAAGATAATGACTTGAAGATGTTTTCCAATTTTATGATATATTGATCTTGCCATTAACTGAGTCTTTTGCCTTTTTAGTTTGCTACCAAAGCCAGCATGGCTCTCTGTTTACCTCTAGCTATATGCTAGCCTTGACTACAGTGATTACTGCCGCATCAGAAGCGCTACACAAAGCATTCACAGCATTTATTGCTGCTGCGAAAGGTGTCTTTGTCAACTTACAGCTGCTGCTTATTCTTTGGGATAACATAAATAGGTCCTGTACAAAATTGAGAGGAATTGAGAGGACTGGGAGACCTAAGACTGGGGATCTGGAGTTGGCTAGATAAAGCTGCGTGTACTTGCTCAGATAGGGTTTGGCACGGTTAGCGGTTGAATCGTATCTGGAGGCAAGCTATTCCGGTGACGCTTGCGAGCCCATTCCTACACCAAGATTTGCAAAAGTAGGGTAAACCTTTCAAATGCTTGCGTGTGCCCAGCTCTTCAACGGTGAAGACAGGATTTATCTATACTTATCCCAGTGCAGTCATGTTTGTACGTCTGTATGCATTAAGTGACTGGAATAACCTGGGGTTTTTACCTGTATCCCACTTGTTTTTATTATGGCAGTCTTCCTCCTTTAACAGCTTCCTCTGTTGGTGTCCCTCTTGTCCAGCTCAGCAAGGTAGCTGCTGCCATGTAAAACAAAAAACCACCTGAGTAGTTTATTTCCATACACAGATACTGGGTCTGAGCCTGGCATATGCCAAGTGCTTTATCTCCCTCCCACTGGAGACCACTAGCATTTAGGGCATTGATTCCCACTGAAGTGGTTTACTTGTAAGAGGGAAGGAGCCAATTTAGGTCTCCGTTTCCCACAAATTCAACAAAAGATCGTCTTAACGTAGCAATGTCAGTGCCTAACGCGTTTCTCTCTTCTCCATAGGCTGGTACACTCCTCCGAAGGAAGATGGTTAATACTGAGGACTGTTGCATACCTGGACCAACATCAACAAAACGAGCTCTTTTTTATGTTTTCCAACACACACAGACTCAAGCTATGAGTGCCCCTATAACAGCCGTACTGAAGACTTTAGCTATTAGATAAGTTAGTGGATAATCTGTCAACTGACACTTAAAGTATAAGTTACAGCCTTACCATTCCGCTCTTCTTAGATATCTTGGACTGAGCAGTTTTGGCCTTTACTGTATTTGTTCTTATGGATTAAGCATATTTGGGCCAACCCTTCTCTTCCCTCTTTTTTATTTAAAGGCGTAAACTCCCTGAAGCAGGCTATCAAGTTACTAAAGGTCATTAAATAGGAGTTGTTCACACACTTTTGTGTATTTCTTACCTTTTGCAGGATGCAGACCGCAGAGACTTGCATTATATTGTTTCATTTAAAGCCAAGAAGTTTAATACATTGTTTAATACTGTTTTAGGAAATGTCAGGTCTTGCAAATCACGGTAGTTTTTCTGGTCTCAAATGACAGCATTTGTAGTATTTCCAAATTAATGATATAGGAAAAACACATGTATGTTAAGTCATTAAACATTTTTCATGGCTGTATGAGAATATGAACTGTTTCTTGGAAAAGATGCTCCTTGTTTAGATTATGTTGTTTTTGGGTTTTGTTCCATTTTGTGTTTTAAGCAGAGCAAGGCTGTGCCTATAAAACCTTGTAACTAGTCACTTCCACTGGGGCGTCAGAACTTGCTGGGCTGTTCCTGCTACTTGGTGGCTCGACCTACTTAACGAGAGCCGCAGTATGAAGCTTGAAGTTACTTAAAATACTAAAAGCCTTTTTAGGCGTTCCATTTTATTAACGGGTTGTTGCAATCATTTGTAAACTAATGAACCTATAAAGTGATTGGCACAAATCGAGACGAAAGTCCTTGAATGAAAAGTTTTATATAAAAGCTACACTAAAGTACAAAAATGCCTCATCTGATTCAGAGATTTAAGAAACGTTGCCATAGTTGTGAGAGTGGTTTTGTTATTGAGAGACTAATGGGATCTGTTCATTCTTTATTAGGAGATGAATCTGGGTCTGTGTAATTACACTATTTCATTGCCTTACCTAAATCGATTCTGTTTTGGTTGTAGTACTAGTTATTAGGCCTCGCACCCCTCCGGGGATGAATTAAGGGTGCGTACCATGGATTAAGCACTTTTTGGAAGTCCAGAAGCATGTTTTTGTTATGTATTTGGTTTTTTTTTTTTTTTTTAGTTGACTATCAATTTTGTGCTCTTTTATCAGGCACCCACGGGTCCTTGCTCATTTGCTTCTAGAACCAGTTTTTAGCTTGAAAGGAAAATCTGAGAGATTTGGCACTGCTTCTGCTACCTGTTGTTTGAGATATCGCTCTCGGAAGGAGGGTGGATGACTTCCCGGCCTTTCTGCTTACTTGGTTGTACATATTATATTTGTATGAAATCCCGGTAGCCAGGCGCCGAGATAGCGGCCGACTCGGTGAGCGGTGCAGTCCCTCGGAGCCTGGGGCTGGGCAGCCCTCTGAACGCGTCCGCGGGCCCCGGGG